AGAAAGAATCGGATTTAGGATTTTTTTTTCTCACTTACAATTAATTGCGTCGATCGTTAATAAACCAACAAAGAAAAGGAAAAAAATGATCCCTTCTCACGCCATATATACACACACACACCCACATATTTCTTTGAGAAAAGAATGGTCAAGTATAGCAAACATATTTCTTATCATGACGAGATTAAGATCAAAAAAAAACACATACGAGAGAAGACTGATTGTTAGTATGTCTACAATATTGTTCTTTCTGATGAACATTATTTTTATACAGAACATTTTCGTTTGTTGAAAGATTTGTGAATATAAAAATGATTAATCCATTGATATGAAGTGACAAAAGAAAATCTTGATCATCAAATATGGATGCGGCTATTTTCATATACATATATGATGATAAATCAAGTATCAAATTGTTTTATGGCGTCAATTAAAAAAAAAAAAAAGAAGAAAGTCGAATGTCATCTTTCTTTGTTCTCTATTCTAATTTTTATACACCGCTTGACATTGTACAAAAGATATCAATAAAAAGAACATTATAGTTTCTTTTTCTCTCATCGATAGGTGCAAATATCTATACACAACATCATCATCAAGTCTCAACAACAATGAAACCGAATCAAACAACTAGTGATTATTATAGTAATAGTAGCAAACATGAAGAAGGTTAAATTTTGTTTTTTCTTTGATTCAGAGCTGGACAAGTACTCGTATACGTGGTCCGAATAGTCAATACTTGTACTTGTCCAGCTCTACTTAGATCTTTGTTTTGTTTGTTTTTTTCTCAAAATAAATTTTTTAATATATTTATCATAGATGTTGATGAATGGACTGATGAACAACAACAAAGATCAGGAATTAATAATAATAATAATAATAATGAATGGTCAATTGAGAAAATTCTTTATCCCGATTGGTTATATAAAAGTTCAATAGCAACACCAACAATACAAAAGAATTTAAATACATCAACATTTATTGATTTTAATTCTTATCGAACATTTGAAACTAATGGAAGTACAACAAGTAATAGTAGTAATGGAAGACGTACAATGTCGTCATCATTAACATCAAATGGACAACCATCACCGAAACAAGTTCGTTTTGGTTGTCAACAAGAAATTGATGAACAAACACGTTCACATCCACATTTAAGTACAACTATTAAACAATTGAGAACAGGTATAAAAACTACAACTATTTTACAAAATGATGCACATGATACATTTATTTAACCATTATGTTTTGTTTTTTTTGTTTGTGTGTGGGTGTTTTTGTTGTTAATGGACCCCCTTTCTGTCTTGTTTCTTTTCTTGTACAGTTTTAAATTTTCGGTGTCTCTTTCTGTTCTTCGTTTGAATAACGAATAAGAAAGAAAACAAAAATAAACTAAATATTGAACAGATGTATGTAGTATGTTCGAACAGGAAGATGTTACTTGATAAAATGTATAAAGTGGCTTGATAGATGATTATTGAGTATATATGTCTATATATATAGTTAACCTGATTCAACAGATGGATTAAATGCAGACAAGACAGGAACACTTATAGTTCAAAACGGAAATTAAACGATAACATTTTATTATTAAACAAATGAGAAAATAAAGAAAATCTAGAAAAACAAATCAGAAATTAGTTGATATGGTGAAAAATCAAACATTTGAAATGTATATGAATGTTTTTATCTTATGAGCTTAATTTTATTAGTAGAAAAATTCAAACATCTAGACTAATAATCTTCTATAACAGAGCAAAATTTAAGAAAACAAAAATCAATGAACAACTGAAAAAAAATAGGACAATTGATTTTAGTTTATTTATTACAAAAACACATACGAATGTGAATGTGAACTATGATAAAGAACATACGATAATTGAATATTATTGATTCTCGCTTGCAGAGCTTGTTGTTAGTAACAATTGTGAGAGTAACTATTTGATTATAAAATACTGGATTTTTTTTTAATATATACGTACGAGTTTCATCATGTTGGAAGAAGCTTAAATGATTGCACGTAATTTGGTATCATCATCAGGCTAAAGCAGAAAACATAATATTTAGAATATATTAACTTTTAAACAGAAATCACTACTTTCGTAATAATCATTTTGTTGTATTCAAATAATCTATTCAATGAATTAATGTTAGTTGGACAAGAATTTTTTCTTCAAAGTTCTACAATAGTAAATAGTGAGTTTATCTATGCGTTGGGAAAAAAAGGGAAGAGTAAATGCGAAAATTTCACAGCTCATCGTTTTTTCTTTTTTGTCTCATGTTTGGTTTCTGTTATCAATTATCAAACACCATTATTCGACATAAATATATCTAAACATGAATTATATATTTGATTTCGTTGTGTATCATTATTTTTGTCGTGAAACTATTGAAAGTATTTGGATTCTTCGAAATCTATACATCGATGTGAATCGTGAAAATAAAAATAACAGAGAATCACCAAAAATTCATAAAGATACATTGTGGCTGAGGATTTATTAGCATCTAATATGATTTGAATGATAATTATCAAGCAAACAAAATATAAACTTATTCGCTTGAATCAAGAATATTTATGCGAAAAAAAGTCAAATTCTTACTATATAATCCCTTTTTTTTTAAATATAGGATCATAATATAAGAGTTTTTAATATGATAAAATACCGTAATTTGCCTTCTTATCTTAATTATGCATACTATTATTAAGGCTCAATTCGTTACACAATAATGCAAATCTAACTCAAGCAACACCACGTTCTCTTTTTTTTTTGTCTTATGTAAGCTCAACATTTTTACACTAAATATCTATCCGTGTATTGTTTCGATTTGATTACAGAGTCGGATACTTCTGTTAAAGGAGTCTGTCTTATATTTATATTCAGTCATATCATTCCACTGCTATACAAAATTCATTTTCACAGTTTTTTCAATCATTAGAATGGGAATTACCATACTTTTTTTGAAATTATCATTGATGAGAAAGAATTCGTTAGGAAATTCTCTGAGACAAATTGATTCATTGAGGAGGAACATTTATATGAGAAACCAACGAGTCCAGTCTATCTATTTAGTGATAACAGCAAACATTCATCTACCAACAGGAATATATTCGATCGATTGAGTTCTTCAAAGCTTGATGTTAAATTGAATAGTGAAATAGTCAAATATAGTTTGGTTTCAGACATTAATCTTCCTATTTATAAATACTCGAGAATCAATCGAAGATTTGCTTTTTCCACTTTAGAGATATAAGAATGACTAATAAAATGTCAATTTCATATGGATTCTTACTCGCCTTTCAATTACTCAAGTTTTCTAGTCAAATAATCAATGATTAACTATTTTGATTACATCTACTATTTTAAGTCGATAACAAATTCCCTATGCAGTTCTAAAATATATCCTAGACATTTGTAATTGATTTCATAACTCATACGATTATTCTGTTTGATCTTTTATTTTGATTGAAAATAATTGAATGAGAAATGAAAATCTCGAATAGTTAATTTCATTTTCTTAATACAACTAATCGTTCAATTTTTACATTAATTATTGAAAGTTTTCAAATAATGATAAATATTGACATATCCATGTTGCTCTTGTTGATCACAGAAACTAGTTATATTCCTTAAAAATATGATTACTCTTTTCAAAATCCATTACTTTCAGTATTTTTTTTTACCGAAGAAAAGAATTCATACAAGTTATAATTGATACAAGTAAGAAATATACCAAGAACAATATCCATTCTATTCTTCTTTCTCTTTTCCATACTTTATAGGATCAAACATCATACGTATTAACAGTTATTCATAGAGATTGATACATAGAACGCAGAAGATACGTAATGAACACATATGTGGCATTGATACCTAGCCCTGACCTGAAAATAAAGCCGGATATAATCGCTTGTTAGAATAAATAGCATCCTGTTATCATTTTTTTTTCATTCGAAAAGATTAACTATGACTATACCAACGGATTTACTGGATGTATAATCAATTTTGATTCAGGATCTACTCAATGATCACTTGAGATATGATTACAATTGATCTTTTCTTCTTCTGAAAAATGTTTATTTATTAGATATTAGAGAAGATACAAGCTGAATTTTTACATTATAAAGGATCAGAATCAAATGTAATGAATAAAAAAATTAGTTTTTGTTTTTTGGAAACATTGTTGTTTATTTGAAGAACTTAGTCATAGATCATCAACATTTGCTAAGATTATTCAAAATGCTGAACGAGATATTCGTGAAATTTTGTAAGATGATTCTTAGTACTCTGTCTTTTGCTTTCATTTGTTCAACATTTTCTTAGATCAATATTGGATTCTTATGCAGTTCTTTTCTTATAAGGTGATGCTACTGCTCAATTCAGTGCTATACCATTAAATTTTCTTAATTCAAAATCATCGCAAAAAGCCGATTATCTTGTCATAGGATCAAGGTATAGATATACACAAAAGCTCTTAAAAATGCTTGACAGTTTTTATTTTATAAATATCCTAGTTGAAAATTCATGAAAACTAACAGGAAATGCTTATTATTATTATTATTGTTTCAATAAAACAATTTATGCTATTGAATTAGATGATATTTTTGCCATTGTAGCAAAATATACACTCATCGTTTGCGATATGTCATCAAATTTTCTTATAGAACCTTTTGATATTACTAAGACAACATAAAAAAACTAATACGAATGATATTTATTAAGCTTCTTTCTCTTAATTTGCAGTTAAATTCGTTAGTGCACAAAAAAATTTTGGTGCAAGATCTTGCTCGAAAAACTATAAATAAGTCAATACCAATCATATTTGATTATAAAATTCAAATAGCTAATGAATCAATATATAATATACCACCAACATTTGTGTATATAAAAGAAAAACGACTAAGTAGGCTTTGATACAATTAATTTTTTTTGTTTATTTTAGAATTTATATTGCAAATAAAATGTTCGATTGTACAAAAAAGACGACAAGATGGTCTAAACATAATGAATCAGTTATTAGATAAAAAACCTACTGTTGTTTATGAAATAATTGATCAATTTAATGGCTTTTATGTAAATATGATCGATAGAAAATATTGTAGCCGTGTAAATATTCCTTTACGTACCGTTACAAATGTTATATCAAACGAACGATTTGAATCATTATTTATTAATGAAGCAATTAAATCAAATATGATTGAATTAAAAGGTCATTGTTCTTTAGCTGGTATTCGTATAAGTCTTTATAATGGTATTAATTTCGAAGAAGTAACTCAACTTACTGAGTTTATGAGAACATTTCAAAAAAATAATACATAATTAAGTCAAAAGAGCAAAAATAAATATTGATTTTATTGAAATTTTTATTAAAAAAAACAGCTAAAAATAAAAATTTTACAACATAAAAATGATTTCTTAAATAATTTAGTATTGATTGGTGCATCATTTTTGAATCTTTAGAAAGATCAAACATATCACATACAGATTTGTGATTCTTCTTATTTCTAGAAGAAATTTTTTAGAGTAGGAAACTCAACAAGCAAATATTAAAAGTCTAAACGCAGAAATCGATTTGATACAAGTAGATAATTTCTCGAATCAATTATTCTATTATTTCAAATTTAACTCTTTTGAATATACGTACAAATAATGTTAATATATATGCTGTAATTCTAATGATTAAACTATATAGAAGTATTGCTAAATTTTCAAAATAAACGTAGACATCATTGTTTTAGATATAAAAAAAAACAAAATCGTCGAGTTTCATTTTACTCGTATATATCACTAAAATCTGTTATAAATATTTTAGTAAAGAAACTTTATCGTATCAATATACTTTAGGTGCTTCATTGACTTATAGTTGATAATTTACTTAGTTGTTTTATTTGTTCTAGGAAGTAATTTGGGTTTCTATCCTCAAATTGTTATCAATGATTATGAATATTTTTGCAAAATGAACATTTTAACAGGGTCAGATCGATATAACCTCACTTGAGTCCTGTCCAACGCATACGTCAATAGAATCCATAGAAAATTATAATTAAATTCATTTCTATTGTCATGATATATTCTATTCATCAATCTCATTATTTATATTATTATTAAAAAAAAAGAGTTGACAATATTGCTTTTGTTTTCAAAATACAATGTGTTCATTTTATTTTCAATGCTTCTTATTGATAAATCTAACAAATATTTCTTTTTGAGTAAAACAAAAGGTTTTACTCGTATTTTGTCTAAAATCTTAATTAATTTGTTTTTGTTCCATATATTGATTTCTAACTACTTTTTTTGATAGAAATACTATGGAAATTAATTTTATCTGCATCAATACTTCTCATTCTTTTCAAAACGCTACACCTATGCATTGTATTGAAGAATAACAAAGGACTGTTGTTACCTTAGTAACAGCACAATTCATGTTTGAAAGCAGAAGAAGAACGAACAAATACTATAGTAATGTCTACTCCTTTTTTTTTTTCTAGAGTAGATAAATACTTGTAAATCGATCTAATCCTTGTTGACTAGTTAGTTGTCAAGTAAATATGTACGATGCAAAAAAAAAAATGAAACCATATTGACTGACTAAAAGGTGTAAAATTTAAACTGAACTCTAAAATATTTTTTAAACATATGAACTTATTATACTTATAGAAGCAAAGCAACTTTCTTCTTATGTTTATATGAGTAAAGTGCTCGAACATTTTTTTTTCTCTTCGCATCTTTCTTCTTCTTCTTCTGTTCTTCAATGATTTTTTCTTTTTTATAAATTTTCACTTGTTTCAATTGGAAAAGAAAATATAACATACGCAGCATTTTTAAAGCTTCAAACACTCGAACATTAGCATTCAAAAGAGAAAAAAAAATCATTTACTATTTTGTATATATATGTAGATATAAATATACATGCTATAGATTATGAATGGTAATTTTTTAGTCGAAAGTTTTAATTACCGGTGATCATTAACTGTTATGGAAAGTAAGAGATACATTGAAAATTATAAAAATTTAACTATTACTTATTTGTTCTTTTTTGTTTGAAAGAGTATAGAATACTTGGTAAAAAAGGTGAAGGTACCTTTTCCGAAGTATTAAAATGTCAAAATGTACGTGATGGAACATTTTGGGCAGCTAAAAAAATGAAACAATTATATAAAAGGTAAAAAATCGGACAGTTAGAAACTTTTTGTTTACATTGATTTTTTAATCTTTTTTCTTTTAAAGCATGGATGAAGTCCAACAAATACGTGAAATACGTGTGCTTAAACAACTTAATGGTCATCCGAATATAATTTTTCTACGTGAAATTATTTTGTAAATCGATTTTTTATTTTTGTTTGATTTTTAAATATAACATTTTTAATGAATATTTATTAGTGATAAACGAACTGGTAGTCTTTGTTTAATATTTGAATTAATGACTATGAATTTATATGAATATATTCGTGGTCGACAACGATTATTATCAAGTGAAATTGTATGCAAATTTATGTATCAATTACTTAAAGCTTTAGAATATCTTCATAGGTAACAACAAAAATTTTAAAAAAATTTGATTTAAAATAAGAAATAATTTTTTGTTACTATTTTTCTTTTTCAATAGACATTCATTCTTTCATAGAGATGTAAGTTTTGGATAATAAATATTATATAAAACATATATTTATTTTATATGTTTAGGTCAAACCAGAAAATATTCTTATTAAAGATGATATTTTAAAATTAGCTGATTTTGGATCTTGTCGACAGACTTTATCAAAACAACCATTTACTGAATACATCTCTACTCGATGGTAAATTATATAAGAAAAAAAGCCATTGCCACAATCCTTGTGAGATTAAAATGTGAAATACGATGAAGCTACTCTTGCTAATCACAAAGAGATTGTTTTATTCTACCGATTTTGGGATACATTTATTCACCATCCTTTGGCTTGATCTTTCAGAGATGTAATAAAGAAATAGTTTAACAAAACGTTATTAACATACGACTTGTGAAGGGAGAGAGACACAGGGTACATTTTTCGCATGGCAAGTATACATGTGACTTTCTTGCTTGGTGACGGATTTCTTTGCTTAGAAATGATTGGATGCAACACAGAAAAGTATTTTAAGAAAAAAAAATTAGGAAAAAAGTTTTTCAATCAAAAATGCCTGAGGATAACTCTTGCCCTCATTTTTTCGAGAAAATTTTTTTCTTCAAAATTGTTTTACTTTTATATTATTCGACGCAGTATAATACGCTGTTTCTGAATATACTAGTTATTTTTGTCAAGTAAGTCTTTTTTCCAAAGCCAGAAAAACAATGTAATTGATTTGTCTCTCGAATAGCTTAATTTTGTTAGATATCAATTTTCTTGGTGATATCATGATTTTCTAACTAATTATTGAGCAATTGATTTTTCAATTTGTTTGAGGTTGTTGTGGGAGGGTATGAACAGAGTTCAAGTTTTTACTCCTATACTTCTCAACACTTCTTTTAGATCATGTTTCACAAAATAATATCTATTTTATTATATTTTATATTAAATAGGTATCGAGCACCTGAATGTTTGTTAACAGATGGATATTATCGAAATCAAATGGATATTTGGTCTGCTGGTAAACATTAAATACTCGTCTATTTATTTAAACAAATATAATTTTTTTCTTCAATTTAAAGGTTGTGTTATGTTTGAAATAATAACACTTCGACCTCTTTTTCCTGGCAGTAATGAATTAGATCAAATTAATAAAATTCATGATGTATTAGGTACACCATCACCTAGCACATTAGAAAAATTTCAACAGTAAGTTTAGTTTTAAAAGATTATTATTATTATTGATTGAAATATCGACTTTAGAATGTTAATAAACGTATATTCTTTTAAATAAAACTAACTTTTATTTTTGTTATTGGAATTTTCTAACACATATATTTATTTAATTATATTTTACATGTAAAAATTTACACATTTCGAAAACTACTATTCATTTAAAAAGTCAATGAACTTGATTGTATCGTAAATAATTATGGCATAGAAACAGTTGACACTCTATGGTTGTGTAGATTTGAAAGAAAACAGATAATTCTAAGTAAACATTTTCGAAATGGTGCTCATAAAAATTTTCTCATTACATATTGACTTTCACAATAGACATTTGATAGAGAAAATCAAGGCATCTCCATATGATTTCATTACCATATTATAAGTCTTCTTCTGAGACCTTCAAAGTCAGACAACAGATCACTGATCAGTCTGAAATGAGCTGATATCGAAGATTTTGATCATATTGAAACTAGTGGTAGTATTTATTTCATTTTTTAAAGCAACACGATGAAAATACATAGTTTTTGCGTCATAAACTCATTTCAGACTGATCAGTGATCATTTGGCCGATTTCGAGAGTTTTAGAAGAAGATTTATAACATGATAGCGGAATTGTATGGAAAGGTCGACCTTGGGTAGATCGAGAGGCCTTGATTTTCTCTATCTAATGATTAATCTTGTAAACCGACATGTAGTGAGAAAATTTTTATAGGTATTGTTTCGAAAATAATCACTGAGAACTTACTAGTATTGATCACTGTTTGATTTTTAGATAATGTGATAAAGCTATCTGTCCTCTTTCAAATACTGAAAATCACAGAATCCCAGCTGTTTCGATGTTCGAGTGTTAGAATCGTTTTAAGAGGACCAATCTAATTAATCAATAGGTCGAAAAATCTAAAACGATAGTAAATCTCAGTAATTAAGAGTTGTCACTATCAGTTCTATCGCTGTTATATTGTATGTTTATAATCCATTCAACCAAAGGATAATCCTTATCAGTCACTTCAAGTATTTTATCAGTTTCATTCTATGAAATTTGTAATGATTTAAATTATTATTATTTGATTTTTTTTATTACAAATAAATGAAGAACTTTTTTTCAGTCGAAATTCTGCAGTCGATTTCAATTTTCCTGCTCGTCGTGGTACGGGCATTGCTCGTCATCTAACACATTGTTCATCGGATGCAATCGATTTAATTAATCAATTATGTGTGTATGACCCAGATCATCGGATGTCAGCAGCTCAGGCTCTTCATCATCCATATTTTGATGCGATACGGTAAGAAAAATAAAATGATTCAACAACAAAAAGAAAATCTCATTTTTCGTAATAGAAATCAAGAAAATGAACAAATGAAAGAACAAGGTGAGAGTCTATGGAATACTGCTCTTCGAGTGACAAAAACAAGTGAAGATCGTTATATACGATCCGATTCAAGTAGTAGTGGATCAAGTATTGATGAGCCAATTACATCACCAAAATCAAATACGTATAATTCATCTACATTACATCAACAAATCCTCAAACCTGATTTCAAAAAAGTATTCTTTTTTTGTTTTCTTTTTTTCATTAATTAATTAATTAATTTTGTTTAGGTTCTTCATCCTCCACCCAAAGCTCAATCATTGGTTGATACTCGAATTCAAGGTCAATCAATAAAAAAACCTACGCAACATAAATATAATACAAAAACAAAATCTACGATTTCAAATTATCATTATTCTCAACAAAATCAATCTCAACCTTATTATAGTAGTTTTGCAACGGTGGGAGCAGATGGTTTACCAAATCGTTCACCCACAAATATGCAATCGAATAAAAATAGTTCAACGCATTTTTTACCTCGGATATCAGGTGCTTCAGCATTTTCAAATTATTCTACCACTACTGGAAATTCTACATTGATAACTAACAAAGTAAAACGAATTAAATAAGAATGTTTAAACAAAAAGACTTCGTTTTTTTTTTTGATTGATGAGTAAAGAGACATTGCAAAGGGATATTTGTCATTGTGAAACATAATATGTTTGATACGAATATGAGACTTCAAACTTTGCAAGACATATTCGAAACATAGGCAATATCAAATTTATGCAGCTATTTAATTTTTATATATTAACACTTCAAGTAATATTGAAGTATACGAAAAAGTCCAAATCAAGAACTTCTAGTTCAGATCAAATATGTGCAATTAAATATGGTGAATTTGATATTAAATATTTAACTACTAAAACTTAGAATAGCAATACAAATAGAAACCACTGAAATAAGATGATACAATGATCTTTTTTTTTCTAAAATTCAATTATGTTTAATTTCCCAACTGCAATATAACATGATAAATACTTTATCAGCAAGATTATCAGCTGGCTCAGTTCTACAAATGGATATCATAACAAAAAACTGCTCTTCAGACTATTGATCAAATAGTATTGTCTTACACAAAAGATTGATGGCCAACAATTTAAACTCAGAAAATTTATATATACAGTGGCTCCAAAAATTATTCATACAGGTGTAATTTCGACTTTTTTCCGGAATAGTAACTCGCATTAAGAATCCAAATAGTGATTTGGATAGAGAAAATTGTTTCCAACAAAGATCCCAGAAAGATGAAATTCTTATATTATTCCCTAAAACCAGGATCTCTAGAAAACCAAAACCCTATTTTTTCGGCACCCAGACCCCGGAAACAAAAGTTTGTTTTAATTGTATAGGATGATAGAGCAACGAATTCTCTACAAAATGAGACGTCTCCGAGCTCTCCACGACAATTTTTGATTGAACTGCGTCAGTTTTAAAACCGCCCAAAAGTGTTTTTTTGCACCATTTCCTATGGGAAAATCGGACAAAAAGCAGTTTTGGGCGTTTTTAAAACTGATGCAGTTCAGTCAAAAATTGTCGTGGAGAGCTCGGAGACGTCTCATTTTGTAGAAAATTCGTTGCTGTATCATCCTATGCAATTAAAACAAACTTTTATTTTCGGGATCTGGGTGCTGAAAAAATAGGTTTTGGTTTTCTAGAGATCCTGGCTTTAGGGAATAATATAAGAATTTAATCTTTCTGGGATCTTTGTTGGAAACAATTTTCTCTATCCAAATCACTATTTGGATTCTTAATGCGAGCTACCATTCCGGAAAAAAGTCGAAATTACACCTGTATGAATAATTTTTGGAGCCACTGTATATATATTCGAATATGTTACGCAAATTTAATGAAGACTTATAATTGTATAAATTTCTAACACACTCAGAAATTGTTTTTTTCACTTATCCAAATAGTAAAAACTCTTCTAACTAAATATGTGAGAGATCAGATGTAGAAAAATTTGATTCTCTGCTCACGATGTTCGTTACATATGATTGGAACCAAAAAAGAAAAAAGTAAATCGATAGTATGCATCTACTTGCATTATTCATTACGACAGAAAATGATCGAGATAAACCTTTGATCGTAAATCATTTGTATATTTTAGAAAATTTTCTTAAATTATTTTAACTAGAATTATGTTTTGAATATATATCATATTCTTTCTCATGATTTTAGAACAACTATCCAGGAAAGAATGTTATTGGCTATTATCCAATAATAGCTTATCGATCTTACAAGAAATAACTTTCAAAACAAATAATTTCTTATGTGCTGCTCATATTATTGCTGTTTTATATCAAGCATTGTATATTTATATTTCATGCACTTTTTTAGTTCTCACTTGCTGTTGTTATGCAACTTGTAATTAATCATATATAAAAACACCAGCAATTTAGAAAAAAATAAAGCTATCTATGTATTATCATAGTTTTTGTATTTATTAGAAAGAAGAAAAAAACAATATATGTAAATATTAAAAATTATTGTGCTATTTTGATTGAAATTTTTTATGTTAAATACTTTGGGTAATCTGAAAGTATCGAAATTGATTTTCTACTAATACTCTATGGGAAGCTTTGAGGGAACTCTTTTGCAAATGTACTTGTAATACTAACTGTGCTCTATATTTTTTCAATATATCACCATTGTCTAACTGATATTTTTATATGAAAAAATTTCAATGGAATCGATGTACACATCTTTTATGTGAATGACGAAAGTTTTCGTTCCTTTTTTCCCAAGTTTGTGCAGCACTCCATACATAACCAATACAAGAGTACATGATCAAATAATTTCAGTTTTCAACCTTGATTCTCGATCTTTGGCATAGTCAAGTGATAGTTCACATTGTCTGCTAAAGATCTAGAAGAGATCAAGCATAGAACACTATCCGATAAATCTGTAATCAAGACAACAATAGCAAAGTCTTTGATTCAATAATAATAGTTCTTATGATACATGTGATGCATTGCAATTATCAACTGGTGTAAGTCGTATCATCATAGAGAGAATAATTTATAACTATCTGAAGTAAAGAAAAAAAATTATGACTCATTGGATACTTTGTCAGGCAAACTGTTTTTTGACCGATTGAATGGGCTTGAATATGTATGAAAAATTCGTCTAATTTTAAACAAGAAAGATATCGATTCTGTAACTTAGTGATAATTAATGATTCCTAGTTGTATTAGAAAGGAATTAGCCGTAACTCCGGGCATGTCATTCCATCAATTAGCCAAGGAACTTTCCTTCATGTGGTTCAAAACATACAGTTCTGTTTTATTAATTTCTCTCATTAACAAAATTATGTGATGTTGAAATCAGAAAAGTTAACGGGTCAATTAATAACTTCAATATGATTACCAGCTATAATATCATTACAAGATAAAACTGATGTTATATCAGTTTACATAATTGAAGTATAGGATTCTCAAGCATGTTGATGAAATGAATAAGAAAAAAATCGATGCATCAAAAAAAACATACACGAACAGATTTTACTGCAAAATTTATCTTATCAATTGATCATTTAATTGTACTTATTGAATTACTAGATATGCCAGAAGCATTTGCAATAACATAGGATACCTTAATAGGTATTTGACGTGAAAGTTAGTAAAAAAAACTAAACGTTATATTATTGAAAAATGTGAAGGATTTTTTTTAGATATTGATGGAATAGTCCGACCATGACACTCACTGATTCTGAAAACAGTAGAATTCAAAAATTATAGAGTTAGATGATGGGTGGTTTTTAGGAAAGCTGCACATTGGTACTATTGTATTCTCAACCGTAGCATTGTATACACTAAAGTATTTCAAAATCGAAATTTGAGGGAAGACAACTAAAGTGAACAGTGTTGGATAAGAAGAAGTCAATCGTATGAGTTATTAAATATGTAAGATTTACGAGTAATTAAAATTTTATAGGAATGAATTTTAGAAAGAACTTTGCTTAAGTTGATTTGAAGATATGTTATGGTCATAATCTTCACGAGTGCTATAATTCGACTCGCTGCCAACTGTTCTACAAAATGATGTATGTATATCTATGTTTTTTCAATTGAAGGAGAGTCATCAAATTCGACAGAGTCGTTTATTCTAAATTAAAATTATTAATGATGATTCTAATATAATATTCATAGATTATTAAGAAATGTTACAGAGACAAACACAAATAAACATATAGAGTAATAAAATCTTGATTAAGCTATTAAGTTTTATTTTATTTTATTTCTCGAAATTATGTTTGAACAAAGTGATCGACACGTCTAAATTCGTTGAGCCATTTTTGTCTTAAATTGCTTGGTAACCATTGAGCATATTGTGACTCGTCCATTTGAATGTAGCCAATAATATCTGAATCTGTATCCAATCCGCCATTTTCTGTGAAAACTTGATCTTGTCTACATGTCACAGTTGTGCCTGATTGACCACAAACATATAAACAAAGATGACAGCCAAAATTGGCGAATTTTGGATCGCGTTGACCTAATTCTTTTTCAGCGTTAGAACGAATCTCTGACATAAAGTTATAAAGAGAAGCCAGAGTCGTGGTTCTAGGATTTAAAGCCTTAACGCCAATACGTGGTGCTGGATATGTCCAAACAAGTTTAAATTTTCTTGAATTGGCGTCAAGTATTGATAGACGAACATCTTCCACTAAAGTGTGATCTGAAATTTTTTTCTTAAGACATTCATCTCGGTATTTGATGCCGTCCTGTTCTTTTGCTGTGTACCATTTAGTCATTGCTTCGTCAAATGTTCGAGCATTTCTCCATTCTTTGTTCTTTGAAGGTTCCCTGATCTTTATAAAGTAAAGATAAAGATATTATCTATTATCATTTCTTCGATATTTTATCTTCAGTTTAAAAGTTTCTTTCGAAGATGTTGCAATGAAATTGCAAAAAAATATTTCAAAGTTGAAAAGAAAAATCCTCAGTTTATGTCGTACTGAATATCTTATTAATTATTCATATTGTCCTTTTTTCTGCTCTCATGGAGTTTGCAAATTATTTTAGTGTTGCTAAAGTAAATAAATAGAATTACCTGTATTCTGGCTTGTTCCAAGTAGGGTATCTTGGGTACACATAAATGTGCATGCCATTTATCTGTATACTGTTGATACCATTTTCCACGATGAAAAGAAAGTATGGCTTCATTATCATATTGTGGATTTTCACGAAGAAAACAACCAATAAGTTCATAAGTTGCTTGAAGTTCAGCAGGACTGGCATTTTGTTTTGGTTTATATTGTATGACTATGAAATGAGGTCGAGGTGTCCATGTATCATACACAAGTTGAACATACTTTGGATCCCCTGCATGAGCAATCACCTCCTTTGTGTTATGACGTGAGTTACCAGTGGCCATTGATATGATGATCCGATAAGAACGCCAAGTAAAGATTATGAATAGTATATATTGATGCGTTATATTTATATTGCTTTCTTATTGGGTTTTTTCCCAACTTTGAGGAGAAAAACATGACGCCAAGACGAAGGCAAGACTCAGTGTCGGGCAAAAATAAAGGAGAACAGAAAGAAACGCAAGAACCGTGTACCGAGCATAATGATTTGCATTGCAAATCAACACTGAGTCAAAGTATTTTTATAGTATACTGTCATTTATGAATTTTATTGATAAATGATTTTCGTTCTATATTATCAATAAGGTTTTGCGAGATAATATAATATCAGTAATATTTGTTGTCGATAAAAAAACTTTTATTGACTGTTTATTATAACAAAATTTATTCTTTAGTAATTTTGAAAATATTCCCACATTTATATTTGTAGAACTTCTTTCGAATAAGTTTTTCTTTGGAAAACTATTTCATTTATTTATGTATGATTTCTTGTACGAAAAGAATTAAGTAGAAAATTTTTGTTTAAAATAGTTGATTTATATATATTACAACAGAGTTATCTATCAAATTAAAAACTTATAAATGATTTATTTTTGTCTAATATGATTCATCAAGACTTGTTTACTTGCGAATCATATTGACTTAGAAATTGTTAACATATACCTAAATACACAACAAATAATGATTTATATTACAACAATTCTATGATAACAACCAAATTGACATACTTTTAGCTTTTCTAACTATTGAAAAACATCCGATTTTTTGATTGCCAACATAAAATAAAGAATAACTTTGGAAGAATGATGCATGTCAATCATAGTGATCTGTTTTCATTCATTACTTTGAAATATGTCTTATTTTACAGGATTTAGTATGTTGTCTCAATCTTATTTAATGATTATTTATAGTTGAAACAAAATTCGAATAAGATATTTGATTAACAAGAAGAAAGTTTATTACTAATAAAATTCTAGTAATATAACAACAGGTTCATTCATTCTGAATAAACTTTTATTTTCAATAGATTTCCGATGAATTTATAATGTAACTAATAATTTTGTAGAAAATCATATTGAATTAAACATTAAATCGTATATATCTCTCTCATTTTCCTTGGCTTTGTGATCTTTAACAATAACATTTTTTCTTTCTTCGTGAAATGCTAAATACTACTAACTATAATGACATTGTTTTCAAATAGAATAATGTAACAAAAGATATCTATGCCTATCTTGATTTTATCATAGCTGTTATTAGATTTATCGACAACCTTTGTAATATTGTTGTATATTTTGTCATATTATATTCGGTTTTTCAAGAATCGATCCACTTATTTGATCGGTCATCTAGTACAAAATTCATTGGGTATTAAGATGTTTTGGTAATATCATAGTACTCACTCGTATAATTTTAGCATCTATCGAACTATATTTTGTTACTAGTTGTCAAATCAAACGACATTCATGGATTACTATACAATGCGCTTGTCATATAGTTCTCATTGTCGCCTTTTTCTGTTTCATTGCTTTAATATTGAATTCTATCTATTATAAGACATCATTATATGCTCTACTGTCGCTTATTTTAACTATATTTTGTATACTAACTTGTTTCAATTTGTACCAAGAATAATTCGAAAAAATTCATATCAAACACTAAGTCAGTAGAGTGATGAGTGTACAAACCTGTGTTGCTTTACTTACTAATTCTACAAATATATGTACTACAGTCAGAACTATCTTATGGTGAGCAGATAAACAGTTTTTAACAGCTGTTTTATGTGAAAGCTATCATTGTTCGATACTAAGATCGCTTGAAACCTGTACTGCCATAAGTAATTTAATAATAACAATGAAACTATATTTATCCCTTCTCATTTATGATCATCGTTGAAAATTTAAAGAATATTTTTAAAAAGATTATTGAATTACATGTGTCTATTTTTGATAAAAATAAAAACTTGAATATTTATTATTAAATTAATAAACTTCTAGGAAAAAAGTTTAACTTTTCTCAAAATTTTGTATATTAAGATATTTTCCGATTTGTATTGATTTAAAAATTAATTTTCTCACACATTTTTGTAATTTGTTCTGTTAAAACGATGTATCTCTATTTTTTAAAGACTATTCAACTAGATGATATGAATTTAAACCAAATACTTTTTTTTATTCCGTATAAAACTAGGTTTTTTTTACTCTACTATTAGATTTAAATGCATATAACAATTACCAGTCATTCACAATTAAGAAAAGTAGGCATATGAACACGTCAGAAATTGCATGATATTCATATTTACACGTATGAAACTTTACATACGTACAGGCCTTTATTTTTTTTGTATGCATGGACATAGAAATCTTTTTTGTACAAAACTTGCATGGAGATGGCTGAAGATTTCCACGTGCGCATGCATGGATGAACACACAGAATGCGTATCGATTGGTTCCAAAAATGCCTGAATTAATTTGTTGTATCTTGGTCTTTTACTAAAAAAGAAAAGCATCTGAAATTGATATCACCAAATACCTTTTTTGAATAAAATAGTCATAATAATGATAAACAAAATGTTCTTTTCAAAGTTTTTTAATGAGTCAATTTTAAATAATCTCTATATAAATTTGTGCTTTAAAAAAGGATAAATATATTTTAATCAAAAAAATATATTCGACAGTAGTTACGACGGATTAATAAAAGCTTATTTTATATAATGATGATGGTGAATCTATTTTTGACGTCCTGGAAATAGATAATATATACAAAACGACCAAATTCTATGGTATTGATAAATACTGATATACAAAATGATAGATAACAAATGTAATAGATACTACCATAATGATTCTCTAACGAAGAAAATTTGCCGAGAATGTATCCATGTCACACTGAAGATATGAAGAGTATTACAAAATATGAGTCCGAAATAAGCTAGTGATTATGGAATACATTATAAGATGAACGTGGTAAGTGTTTGCTTTTGTAGAACCATTCCGAAGATCTATGACATTTCAAAGATAAATACAGGAATTAATGAATGTGTACTTTACTTATCATGATCACTATCAAAGTATTCACATGTTTTATTAAGTGCAATTATACAAAACAAAACTATATTTTTTTTAAAAGAAATATTACAGTGTCCATCGCTTTAGAAGTGACATATAAGTAAAATTACTTCAGACTGCAATGCAGTAAAAATATCGTTATCATATTTCACGAGGTGATAATCATCAAGTACATTTCATCCTTCATGCTTTACACATTTTCATAGAGAAAATAGCAAACGAAATTTCTTATATATTGTTTGCCTAAAATGATTGAACGAGAAATAAATTCAGGAGTAGTATGATTGTTTTTTAATTTATCAATTCTCAACAAAAATTAATGTTTATTATTGCATTCAATGAATAGAAGTCATTCGGTGAAACTACATACGATAGACGACAAAAATATTTTACTACTTTTTGTGTCTCCTATTTTATTGATAGAAGAAAAGTCGTTATTCTTATATTAGTATATTAGCATTGTAGCAGTCATGCTCTACTAGTATGCATACAGGAAACATACAATAGGTGGTTTGATTAATGAAAAATTAATAAAATATGAAGTTTTGTTAATTTTTCTTGACTTATTTCAGTAGATAGCGGGTGAGACATAATGTTAAATGGCCACGGTTTGCATTTCATTCTGTTCATCACTTAATACGTTGTATTAAAAAACAACCAAATATACCACAAGATGCAGTATGAAGAGTTCTACAATTTACAAAGAACAGCTTATCTTATATATGCATCTTTTGTCTTGAAAATGGACAAACTTCTTTGTGACCAATTTTCGACACTGCGAATAAGATCATTTATTGATACACGACGAATTCCTTTTCTTATTTCATCAATTAATGAATCATAATTTTAATTTTATCTCATTGCATATTATTGTAATTGGAACTCATATCGATTGGTCTTAATTCGAACATCGATTATGGCTTTCGATATAAATCATTAACCGAAGCAAGAAGAAAAGGAATTTGTCGTGTACCAATAAATGATCTTGTACTCAGTATCGAAAATTGGTCGCATAGAAGTTTGTCCATTTTCAAAACAAAAGGTGCATATATAAAATAAGCTATTCTTTGTAAATTGTAGAGCTTTTCATACTGCATCTTGTGGTATATTTGGTTGTTTTTTAATACAACGTATTAAGTGATGAACAGAATGAAATGCAAAACGTGACCATTTATTATACCCCATCCGTTATTTTCTGGAATGAAGCAGTAAAAATTAACAAAACTTCACATTTGATTAATTTTTCATTAATCAAACCACCTATTGTATGTTTCCTGTATGCATACTAGTAAAGCATGACTGCTAGAATGCTAATATATTAATATAAGAACAACAACTTTTCTTTTATTAATAAAATAGAAAACATAAAAAATGGTAAAATACTTTTGTCGTCTAGTGTATATAGAAGAACAAATACCACAATAAATGAATAGAGACTAAAATAAAACTTATTATCGCTTTATTACAACAAAACATCATATAATAGAATTGTTTACTTTTAGATGACTTTTATAATATAGATAGTAATAGTTTAATAGTTATAATCAATTTCTTTTGCTCGTCTTCATACAACTCAATATGATATTTTTCATTCAAGAAGCAAATCTTTAAATGAACTACTTGCTGGTCATAACAATTTTTATTGTGTATACAGCATCAGAAATTCTCGATGGTTGGAATTTTTCATACATTACGATAAACCTAGAAAGTTGAATTAATATCTTTAGATAAATAAAAATCTTTTCATGTTACAAAACTTAAATATTTATATAACAGATCAAGTTCAAGATCACATGTAAATTTTAATCATTTAAAGAGAATAAGAATGATTGCTTATTTCAGTGACGTACTTATGAATTTTTTATTCTTAGACAATTTATCAGTGAAACTCTTCTGAGGAATGAGAAGCTATGGGTAATTGTCCAAAGACCCATAGCTGAATACACCACTAGTTTGCTTCTTGATTATACGTAAATGATAATTGATTAAAATGAAAAGTTTTTAATTTTAGAATAGATTTCTCATTGTTGATTGAAATGAAGCAATCAAAGAAAAAAAGAACATCTTTCAATAAAACATATGTTCATCGTATGATCAATTAGAAAAAAAAACTGTAATGATTTTCATTAATAAAATCTGCTTGTTGTTTCATCACTCATTGAATTTCGTCCATCATTACTTTGTTGTACACCATCAAGAATAAGAAATCCTAAAGATGAATTCTCTTGATGCCATCTATCAATAGCAATAAAACCTAATCGACAAACTGAAAGTGGTGGATTTAATAATGGATTATCATCTAAAATTGTTGATAAATAATTATGTTCCCAATCGAGTTGTTTTAATTGAGTTAATGTACGTGGTAATGTACGTAATCGATTTTGTCCAAGCCAAAGTGTTGTTAAACATTTCAACATCCCAATTGTATCTGGTAAAAGACGTAGATGATTATCATAGAGTAAAAGTGAACGTAATTCAGTAAGTTGTCCGATACCATCTGATAATTGACGTAATTTATTACTTGATAAATCAAGAAATGTTAAATTTCTTAAATAAAAAAATGATGTTGGTAGATCACGTATATAATTATTAGCCAAATGAATACTTTCAAGTTGTTCCATATAACCAATAGCATCAGGTAAAGCAATTAATGAATTATTTGAAACAATAAGTACAAGTAATTCACGTAATTGACATAATTCATTAGGTAATGTACGAAGATTATTTGTATCCAATATAAGAAAACGTAATTCATTTAAACGACCAATAGCTCGTGGTAATTCATTTAATTTAAAATCAAGAGAAGCTTCACGTGTTGGACTTAATTCTAAATAGGATATATCAGGATATGAAAAAATATCCTATCAATAGAAAAATAAAAAAAAATTTATTCAAATTCGATTAAATAAAATTTACTTACTGAACTAATCGTATGAAGATCACGACCAGAACAATAAATACGTCTTCCATCGATTTCACTCATTGTACTGCTATTGCAATCGTCTGTTTGTTCAAAACTGGAACTTGTTGAATAATTGTCGGTTGATACTTGAATGTCACTCTCGTTTTCTTCTGTCAACTCGGATGTCCACCCACTTCTACTTGACAGCATCATTCAATTTCACTTTTTTTATTTCTTCATTTTTTTTTCCATCTATTAAAACTTCATCTGTCAATCAACATATCCATTTCTTCACATATGCAATAGTTAGGATCAATTTACTACTCAAATTCACGTTTGGCTTTTAAAAAAAACGTCACCTGCTTGTTGAATTCATATAAATATTTATTAAGGTATACTGAATATAATGCAGAAAAATAATTTATTTTTTCCATTAAGATAAAAAATATCAAGGTCATATTTTAAAAAGACTAGAAAATGTCAAAATTATATTTGATCAATCAATTGTAACTGACGATTGAGTCGTTGAATAAAACTAACTTTACCATTAAGTCCACCAGTTGCAAAACTAAAGACAGAAAAAAAAATATATTAAATTTTCATGTCACTAAAAACATGTTCTTTTTTTTGTTTTCTTACTTTTGTGTATTCATTGCAATTATTGATGTAAGTGCTGTTGCATTATCAACATCAAGTTCAGTAAGAATTGCTATGAAGAAAAAACAAAAAGTTATTCATATTTTAGTTCAATTCTATTTTTCTTACAATTTTGTGAAACATTCCAAAGAATTGCTCGACCATCATTACTACAAGAAATTATCATTGATGCTGATTGATCAACAAAATGTCCACTATTAACTGTAGCTCTATGACCATAAAGTTCTGAGATTAATTTTCTTTGTCGAATATCCCATAACTATATAAAATTGAATTAATAATAATAATAATAATAATAATAAAGAAAATATTTCAAACAAACTTACAGAAATTTCAGCTCCACTACCATTGAAACCATTACTTGTTGATACCAGTAAATTCACAAAAAAAAAATGAATTGAAAATAGATAAAAAAAAACGAAAGTTCATTTGTTAACACTCACTAAGTAACGATCATCATTTGATATGTCACATGATGTTTGAATATATTGTTTTTTCGGAAATGACACAACTTGAGTCATACTTCGAGCATCATACATTCTAAAAATATAACAAAAATTCATTCTAACCGAAATATCCAAAAAAAAACCTAATTTGACAAAATGTTTGTTCATTTTTAAAGCAGCCTGCAGAAATTTGAAAACATTAAGTTGGAATCAAAATTTTGTATTGTTTATGAATATACACTCAAAATTTCCTTAAGACTTCTGATTTAAGAGTTATGAGTCGACCTTTTTGAAGTGCGACCATTCAGGCATCACAGAACTCACTTAACAAGTCTATTTTCCATAGAAATCGGGATAATTGACATGGCGTACCTTACCGAAATATTCATTATTAAAAAATGAATTGCAGTAAACTAATCATCAGTATACCATTTTATAGAGAAATATTTGTTCTATTCTTCTCTATATTCGAAATTATTTTCGCTTCTACTTCGAGTAAGTTTTGGCGCGCTAAAGCTCACATTCTTAATAATGTTCTGTAATCCGGTCGGATACTCGGTACTCGACCCGACAATCAACAAGACCTAGACGTTTAAAAATACTTTACTTGAGAACAGATGATAGGAATGGAAAGTGATATTGTTTTACTAAAAGAATTCTCTTGTAATGAAAAATCATTTACAGATGATGATGATCATGAAGTAACTAAATACATGAAGACGAAAATGAATTATCAAAAAGCATTCATGTATGTATTCACAATTATGACGTTTAATACCAACACTTCATTCTATTTCAGCATCATCAGCAATAATCAAACGTATACTTAGGGAAATCGATCAGATTTTACAAGCAGAAAGACGCTAAGCAAAGCCTGAATTATTTGCTTTTTTTTGTTGCTGTTTATGGAAGAAGCTAAATAGTATACTTTTTTATATAAAATAAAACTTTGAAAACCATATTGTGACTGTGAAAGTATTTGCCGAATGCCAATTAGCTTCAATCGGATATAACTATCCGGATCCGATTTCAAAAACTCGTACCTGTGCAGCATACTTATTTATAATTTTTAAAACAAAAATTCTACAAAAATTTAAAAGTCATACTCGGAAAGAACACAAAATTCAGATACTAACTCAATATTTTCAAATTTCTGTGGACTCCTTTAAAAATGCACGAACACTTTATTGAATTAATTTTCAATAGCCCATTTGTATTCTTTGCTAAGAATATCAAAGTATTGTTTAATGAAGAAAATATTTTGATTGATTGTTGTTTTCTTTTAGTATGACAAATAAATAAAACAAAGAAGACATTTATTCCTACTTGTTTTCTTTATCTTCGCCTGTTTGTGCTATAAATGTTCCATCATGAGACCATTTAGCATCTGTAATCTAAAATAAAAAATAAATTTTTAGTTTCTATAGAAAATTAAAAAGAAAAAAAACTAAACAAACCAAATTTCGTCCGATCATAATTTTTTTTAATATTTGACCAGTTTTTGTATCCCAAAAAATAATTTTATTATCGCGACTTCCACTAACCAAAATTGAATTTTCTATTAAAAACAAACAAAATTTTCAAATATTAATAATCTTTGATAATATAAAGATTAACCTGGATTAAAGTCAATAGCTGTTACAACAAGTTCATGACCAAGTAATTTTTGTACAGGTAAATCAGAATTTATATTCCAAAATTGTATAGTTCGATCACGTGATGCACTTACAAATAAATTTACTATATGTCCATATAAAACTTTCACAACATCATGTTCATGACCAGTCCATCGACGACGAATACGATGATTAATAAAATCATATAAAACTAATGTCTATAATAAATAATAATTATTTCAAATTTTTCAAATAAATATTTATTATTATACTCGATCTTGACTACCAGATAAAATAGTTGATGTATCAACAGGATAAATATTTAAAACTCCATCTGAATGAATAGCTTCACCAACAGGTATTTTTTCTCGTATTTGTGTTGAATTTCTAACATTTGTTTCGAATCTATAAATAAATAAAAAACCCGATCAAGAAGATTGTATTTATTAGATGACTTTAATTCTTACTTTTCATTATCATTAGAATTTTTTGATGATTTTGATTTGCTTCTTTTTCGAAATAAATGTCCAAAATTCATGATTGATTCTATTTCATAAAGATGAATTGAAAAATAAAACAAAACAAAAAAAGAACAACATCCATGAAACTGTTCAAAGGTCATGACGACTAAGAACTTTATCCCTCTTAGATCATTAATAAGATGTCGCCAGTTTTTGACTGAAACACAAAAATATTTGTTTGCTTATATCTGTTCAGCATTTGAAATATCCATATTCAGCACTTTATTTTTAAAGATCAAATAGATTAATGTATGATTAAAGCAATTAGTGTATTAATGGTGGAGTTGAGGGGGTGGCTAAGCTTCCATCTACAAGTTTTTTCTGATTCCACCACTACAGTGAATGGAGTGCATGTATTTGTAGAAAAACTACATATCCATTTAAGAAATATTGTTTCCTAGTTTAATAATATGCTATATTTATATTGTTTGTTTTGTATACTATATCTTCAGAAAATCATTCGATAGAGAAATTTCCGCTCTATAAAATTGTTTCGTGTGTATTTTTCAAATAAATTTTGCTTGTTGAAGTAAAATTTAAAATATGAACGCTTGCTCAATAATCTAACTATGATTTTTGATATTCTGCAATAAATCTTTGCTCATGAAGATCAATATCAAAAGTAATACAATTAGCATCAATGGATAAAGAATTTTGCAGTCTCCACTTCTAGGACTTTTTTAAAGTTCTCGTTGCTGTTGTTCCTAAGAAAAAAATAGCTTGGATCTAAAATCGATTGATATTTGTCTACGTATGTCGAAAAACCATGTGTTTCTCAGCGAGAATTCTCGTACTGTCGGATGTGCAATTTAATTTTGAACATAATATTGTAACTGCTAAGTTAAAGAGTACAAATGATTAGGTTGTATCGAAATACAAAAGAACAATGGCATAATTCTGTCACATAAAGTTTGTCTCTCGTCATCTCGCAAATATTCCCTTTTCAATTCTGAAACATATATTAAAAAATAGAATATTTCGTGGCATACTCGCCATTCCAGAAAATTATTATTAAAAAAATTTGCATCATTTTCCGTTGTTTTTTTTTTGACCATTGGATCTCGACGATTGAGGAAGTGTTAATATTTTAAAGGCAACTATGTTTCATAGCCATTTTTGATCTCAGAACAGAATATATATAGATTTTAAGAGGAAGATTTTCTCTACAAATCTTCACATATTCTATTCTGGAGTCAAAATCGTATAGTTCCCTTTGTATTTCATAAGGTTTTTTAAATAGTATTGCACGAAACCATGGCATGATTTTTAAATTTTGTTTCTCCGAATTCTTTAAGACTCAAAGAATATTTAAACTTTCGACAATACATATAATTAAAACTTGATTTAATCATTCAAAAACTGTTAGTAAGATACTCTTTGTTTTTCTATCAAAAAATTAGTTTATATAGCTGTATTATATTATTAAAAATAGGAAAAAATTATAAATCATTTGTTTTTCGTAAAGGTATAAAAGGGGAAAGAGATAAGGATTTGTGCAAGTATCGGATTTATATGTTCCGAAAATCATATCGAACGAAAAAAAAAAAAAAGTTTTTTTTTTCATTTAAATTATTAATGTGCAGTAAGATCAAGTGAATTAAAACTATCTTGTCCTTGTTGATTACGAAGTAAATCTCGTTTTGTTTTGGCTACATCATTTCCTTTTATTGCTGGATTATGTTGTGAATTAGATATATTTGATTTTGTTTTTGATTGTGTTGATAAAGTTTCTGGTTCTAAATGTTTTTGAAGTTGATGATAATAATCTACACGCATATTTTCAATTGCAAGTCGTTCATCAGGCTTTTTATAAAAATAAAATAAAATATATCAAAATAATTTTGTATTTTTTTTTTTTTTTATAATAAAAATACATACAGTTTGAATTAATCTTGTGACTAAAATTCTTGAACCATCAGGCATTTTTTTTGAATAATTTGATTGTTGAGCTAAACGTTCTTTTCGTGAAACGGATTGTTCAACAATTAACATTATTTTTGCCCATTGTCGAAGCCATTCTTTTTTTCGTTCATTTACCATTGCATATGTATTACCCATCACTAAATACATTTTTTAAAATCAAAAAACAAATATAAACAATTATAATAACATACTAGCGATAAGCATATTAACAAGAAGTACAGCTGCTGTAACAAGATAAGTTACAAAACAAATCTAAAAATATTATTTTAACAATTAAAAAAACAAAAAAAAGATTTCTTTTTTTTTTGTTTATTATTTACTTTTCCAATAACTTGTATACCAGTATTAGGATGTAAATAAAAATTTTTATATGCATCAGCAATTTGTTGAAGCGTAACACAAAACATTCGAAAAAATGTTTTTATAACTGTCGCAAAATCATTTTCACATTCAATTCGTACAAAAAGAACATGTAATGCTTGAGAAAATCCAACCATAAATACAAAAAATATTAAACAAAAACGTAATAAATCACCCCGAATCATTGTATATATCATAACAACAAATGGACCAGTTGAACGAAATCCGCTAAACATAAGAAGAAAAAAAAAATTCGACTTAATAATTATTAAAATAAATTTTCTTTCTTCTTTTTTCTTATTTACCGACAAAAAAAGAAAAAATATGGTGCTCGAGCAAGTATAGCATAAGTACAAAGTATATCATCAACAGCAATAGAACATGTTAATCTAGCTGGTACCATTGCTGCTGTTAATAAACAAGAGAAAAGAAATAAAACTCTTGTTGGATCATTAACATAAATAAAATAATCTAATTTAAAATGTTGATAAGAAAATTCACGCATAGTCATTATGAGATACATCAATGAACCTAGAACGCTTAAACCATCGAGAATATTAAGAGCCTATTAAGAAGAAACAAAAAACAATAGAAATATAGATTTCTTATTATTTTTTTCTTTTTGATTTCTTACTAATGCTATTGGTTCGAATTGACGTTTTCTAAAAATATTTTTCATACTCATATTTATGATTGTATGATTAGTATTATCATATGATTGTGTGTACCATAAAAATTTTGTATAATGACATTTACATTCAGGACGATCAGCTATTATAGATTTTATTTTATTTTCTTCTTTATCAATTATTTCATCAACAATACATGATCGTGGAACACGATAATAACCACGAACAATTAATGCAAGTAAACAAATAGCAAAATAAAGTGCAAATATACCCATACGTTGAAAAAATCTTTGAAAAGAAAAAAATTAATAAATTTTATTTTTAAATAAAGATAAAATTACTTAAATTTTATAAATGTACGCCATTTTTCATTTAATAATTGAACAATTAAACCATCCATCATATCTAAATGACCAGCTGATTCCTATAAAAGAAAAACAATCTTAGTTTTTAATAGTCTATACGTTTAATAAATGAAGGTATTGCATGTACTGATTTAATCTTCACGTGTAACAATGTCCATATATGTTGTTTTCATTTCAAAATTTTCTATCTTAATATTTATGAAAAATGCTCTACCGATTTAAAAATTATCCAATTCTTTGAATAATACAAATCATAGAAATTAATTTCCTATGATTATCTATTACATACGAAAGAACATAGTTCAGATCATTAGAAAGATCTCCAACGTTACCTGCATTATAAATATATTCATCTTAACTGTTTTATTTATATTACCAGTTTTTTTTTCTACTTACTCCTCGTACAATAATATTAAGTGCACTGGTATCATTCAATGAACCATCTTTTCCAATTGTATCAATATCATCTAATGGATAACCAGCACAAGTTACATTTCCATATTGCCAATAGATAATACGAGTCTTTTGTAGAATATGATCAAACATCTAAAACCATATTCGAAAAATTTATTTTCATAGAAGAAACAATAAGAATTTTCTTACATCTTTATGAGCTTTAACAGCAGCAAGTGTTAATGGTGTTAAACCTTGACGATTTTTAATATCTAAAGATGCACCTAATTCACAAAGTAAATCAACCATTGGCTATTCAAAATAAAATTCATTAATAAAATGAAATATATAAATAATTAAAAACTAACAATTCGATTATATATAACACACATATGTAAAGCAGTATTTCCATTTGAATCTTGACAATTTGTATCCGCACCTTTAGCAGTTAATAATCTAACAGATTCTTCTTGTTGTAGAACAGCCGCAAATGAAAGTGGATATTCACCAAAATAACAAAAACCTACATAATCTGTTGCTACACTTACATCAGGACATTCTTTTGTTACATTATCCACTCTATAAAATAATATTAAACAAACTGATTATTATTTTCTCTTATCGTACCGACTCGATTTTTGATCTTCTGGTGAGAAAAATTTTCCACAACAACGTTGTGTAAAATCAACACCAGCGTCCAGTAAAAATTTAACTGTTGCTGGTTCTTCATTTACAATAGCAATATGAAGAACATTTTCACCTTTAATAAAAAAAAAAAAAAAAACGAAAATAATTAAATAAACTAAAAACAAAAAATTTTCTATTCTATTTAACTAACCATAATATTCATCACCCATATATAAATCATCAATCATTTTTGGATAATGTCTTAAAAGTCTTTTAGCTAAAGCTGTATGAACAGGACTTGATGATAGAAAACATACATGAAGTATTTGTTCACCAACACCACCACGTTGATCAAGATCCCAACAAACATGTTTTGTTTCTTCTCCTAGATTTAAAAAAAAAAAAATAATAAATATTTAAATTTTTTTTATTTTTTTAAATAACCGTTTGCTTGTTCTTCTTCGAGTGGTTTAGCCGTTGTAACAATATTTTTAACTTTCGTAAATGTATTATTTCGTCGTCGAACAATTTCACTAATCGTTACCTAAACAAAAAGATATTTTACATAAAAAGAAAAAAAAAACTTAAGTATTTTTTTTCTGCCTACCAATTTTCCTTCGCCATCATTATAAAGAAATCTTGGAATATGTTCACGTATAAGTGCATCAATGTGGGTATAATCTTTTGTACGATTAGCAACACGCATGACTTCAATGAATTCACCACCACCCTAAATATGATTGTTTTTTTTTTTTTTTTTGAAAATTTTCATAATAAAGAAAATATATTCACTGTCATATCAACAAAACGATAAAGTTCAGGTCCTTGTCCACCTGAATTTATTTGAGCTTTAACGCCAGAAGCGACTTCCGATGTTGTATTACCCATACAAGATTGTTAGTAAAATAAACGACTGACGATGATTATGATTGAGTTGAAATATTCAATTGAACGTTTTTCTTTTTCATCGATGTTGACGGAAAAGAAAAAAAAAGAAGGAAAAACTCTTATATATGTCCGTAATTGGAACGAGTGCCGTTTTATGTTATATAAAAAATTGAAGAAACGGAAAGTTGCATGAAGAAAAATTTTGCCTGTTATATAAACGGTTAGAGGAAATAGTGAGTGATCGATTAGAAATGCTTATTAACGTTTAATGAGAGAATGGTGTTTCTCATAGTAAAGAAAAAAAGTTTATTTTAAAAATAGAAAAAAACTAAAACCAAATGTTTGTCGAGTCATATACGAAATATTTGTTTTTCTTATCATAATAATATAAATTTTCAAATATTTTTTATTGATTTTATTTCGTTTATAATAATAAAGAAATTTTAATGCATTTTTTTTGCAAATATTTATTTGACTTTATTCTTATAGAATGTTTGTTTATGTGTCAATCGAAGATCTTGAATTGTTGAGTAGAATTCACGTAGAATTGCTAATTAATATGAAGTATTGTATATAAAACTGAATTATATGTATATTCTCAAAAAATTTCTAAAAATCAACGAACTTTTAGATTTCTTCTGATAATCAATTAATAGATATAAACTACTCATGAAACAAAAGATTGTATTTTTTGTCTTTTCCGAGGACTTTTATACAAAGTCATTATCTAAAAAGCTTCCTACAATGATTACCGATAACAACATGTTGTTTTCAACAGACCATAGTGATCAATATTGTATTGAGTAGTATAAGTCCTGACATTAGTTAGCAAAACAAAAAGAATCATGCGATTCGCGTCAGCACTCAAGAAGCTAATCTTTCTATCACTCACTAATGAGCAACGTTTTATTGATGGAGTCATAATTGTTCAGATTCTGATACACGATTCTATAAAAAAAAACTGATCAAAAGTCTTAAGTCTAATTGGAACAAAGAATCGGCTGAGATACTTTTCTGTGCTACTAAACATTCTTCTATATGATACAATTGGTATTCATGTGTAAATTGCTGCATCCTTTTGTTTCTCCTGTCGATGTACGCACTGGTGATTACTACTTTGAGAAAATATGCAAGAAAAACTATGATCATTTTATTCTTATAGACAAAGTCGCAGAAAAGTAAAATTCGAATGACTTGTTGTCTTTTTAGTTCATGCATATTTTGATAGAGCTTGATGAGCTAGTCAAGAATATATAGTTTTTATTTCAATTCGACCGCTGATTGACCGAAAAAAATGATAAAAAGTTCGAACAACTGAAAATGTAGTATGGGCAATTATGAACTCACTTTTTATTTACAGAAATCATCAAATTTCAATTGTGTGATCTTGTCAAGCTTGATGAAAACATTTTATTTTGATTTAGCATAAAAGACACTGAATAGAAAAGTATTATTCGATTAGAATTAGAACAAATAAGGTTAAAAAAGTTTCGTCCGATATACATAGCTCGATCATAACTCATAATGTGTATCTGTCAGGATTCTTGTAAGCCTATCTAACCTTTTGTAACAAGAGATAGAAGCAAGGCTGTTATTTAATGAGAATTACCAGGTCGCGAACTACAAAAGTACGTATGTAAGATATTTTTTTAGTTTCTTGATAGTAACAATAGATAAAAGAATGAAAAATGTGTTTGTATTTAGTGATTTTTATTGTCATGATCTATCAGTTAAAAAGCAAAATAGATATCATATTCAAAATTAGCGTTAAAAACTGTATCGAATCATGTATGTTTTAATGAAAACTGTTTCCGATAGACAATACACTTCTGATCATCCTCAGGTTCATTTTTCTGAAATTTCGCTCCAAAGGATCGATTTTTCACAGAAAAAATGATTCTTAAAATATATACGATTCGACGCAGTTTTTGACACTAATTCTAAATATGCTATCTATTTCACTTTTTAACGGGTCATGAAAATAAAAACCACTAAATATGAACCCATTTTTTACTTCTTTATTTAATTTTGCTGCCGAATAAGAAAAAAATTCAATTTTCTCAGCAAAGTTACAAAAAAAACTAAATAAGTAATTTTGTAGTTGATGATCTGGTAATTTTAATGAGATACGACACTTGCTTCTATCTCTTGTTTAAAGAAAACCTAGATAAGCTTACAAGAATATTCACAGATAAGTACTACGAGGTGTGATCGAGATACGTATATCGGACGAGATTGTTTTAACCTTATTTGCTCTGATTCTAATCAAATAACATTTTTCTATTCAGTTTCTTTTATGCTGATCTAGAATATAATATTTTCAAAAAGTTTGTAAAATAAGCATAGTTGAAATTCGATACTTTCTGTAGAAAAACAAAAACTTACTATTATAAATACTACATTCTTACTCATTCGAAGTTTTTAAGGTTTCATTACAGCTAAATAGTAGTTAAATCAATATGATAATTCTATTGATTCGTGGCCAACTTCGTTAAGTTCTATCAGACTACATATAAATAAACGAGAAAAAACATTCACAGTATACTACAAATAGGATAGAGCAAACTCTTGAGAGATTTGTGGGAGATAAAAAGAAACAAGATTATTATCTCATTTGTTCGATGTAAATAAACATCTGTATTTGATACTTTTGATAATAATATATTCAATAATAGTAAAAAGACAGAAACTTTCAAGAATCAAAACAAACAAATATTACAAAGAATAGTAAAGTCTAACAATTCATGTCATAATTATTAAAGTATTTTTTCACTGTCTCTAACTGATACATAACCTGAAGGAAAAGAAGAGGCAGTCAAAAACAGTTAGTAATCGAACCATTGTCGAAAAGATGAAAAAAGAAGTTGTTTGAAAGATGTTGCCATTGTAACATTAATTAATGATACTAGCATAAGACTACTTAGTTCAACCATCGTTTGACTATAGTGTTCAAAACTTTTTATTTATAGAGCTAAATAGCAACATGAATGACATCAATAGTAATGATTGTTTTAATAGAATCATAAAATGAAGAGTTGTCAACATTGTTAGTACATTTATTGATCTCGATTTACACATCGATTTTATAACCAACATTAACGAAAAGAAGACTTCTATCATTTTTTTTTCCTATAACATTTAATCTAATAACAATTTCGTTTGTTCATGATATGTCATGAATAAATTCAATTTATATTTTTTCTGAAAATAATGCAAGACAAAAGGAATGTGCCAAGGAATTCATCTATAATGCGCATTCAGAAATCTCAAAGGAATATGATCAAAATACTACTAACTCCATGAATTTCATTGATACAAGTGATGGCGCATGCAATCAAAATATGCTTCAACTCGACCAATCTTTCGTGTTGTGAATAATTCGTCGATAATGTTTCTGAACTAATGAAAAAAAAATACCTTGACAAACTGGAACAGGAATACCATTGTCGTTAACTAATTAGATGACAGATGTCTCATTGTTTTCTCTATTTGATACTGATTCAACCAATAAGTACTATGAAAGTCGACATCATCAATAAAATGAGTTTTTTTTTCTTACATTATCTTGATGAACATATCGATAAACTTGACTCCAAACAATTCACGAGTAATTAACATTCAGTTTCATTTATCATATATTATGGTCAAATTCTCTTGTAGAAAGATTTTAATCAGTTGATAGAAACGAAAGATAATTAGCTATCTATTAATAATTTGTTATGCACTAGTACAAATGATAAGATTTTTTTCTTCCAGTTCGTTTATCAAAGTATTGCTGATTCCAATCTGATGAATAACTTATTTATCATGACAGTTGATCCAACAATGATGTCTACTCCTTTCAATAACATTCGTGAATGTTAACTATCATCAGACAGAGAAAAGAAAAATGTTCTCTTTTTTTTTATGCATTCCATGTGTCACATCAATCATCTTTGATCCGTAGAATCAACATTCACTAATGATAACTGCCTCACAATTAGATACTTTTGAGTAGTTGTATATGATTGAAAACATTTCTTAATAAAAAAAAAGAATGACATTGACTAAATAATTTATTAATTAAATTTAAACAGTTCGGTAAAGTTCAACAGATGGTTGTATTCATACCTGATTAAACATCTGATGATCTGTGAAATAGATATTATTTGATCGAAATACTCACATATACTCACAAGAAATTTCTAGAAATAATCATATTTTATAAAAATATCAATTGTAATTATGGAAATGATTCTTCCATCAAATCACTCTAATTTATCTACTTTCTATAATACCATTGACCTTGTCTACGAAAAGATAGACAAATATTCAAAATCACTTATTTCATACGAAATAGTATATAGAATCAAACGAAAATGACTTTCTTCAAATCCTTCTGATCTAGTTATTTTCTAGAACACTATTGATTCAAGTCATGACAAAACAGATGAATAATCAAAAATACTTTTTTATTTTTTTAGAAAGGTGTACTTCAAACTAAACAACTTCGATGAACTATGAATCATTCTATACTTAACCTTATAGTTTAGAAAGAGAGAATTGACATTGAGAGAAAAAAGAATGTCAATATTCTTTAATTTATCGAAAATAAATAAATAATAAATAGAAAAGAAGAAAATTTTTTTATGTTAATCAATGCACGTGAGTACACGAAGAATTTCCTCAGAATTTGATCTTCTTCTTCTTTTGCTCTATTATAATCACAACTTGTTGAATCAATAAATATAAAGAGGAAGTTCTATTCATAGGGTTCATTGTTTGAAATACCGATGAATTTATATGACATTTGAAGGAAAGAGAAAAACTCGTATTAGAATTTGTTTTACACATTTATTCTGCTTTTAAATGACTAATGTTAAATGACAGATGGCAATTGTAGTCTTTATATTAAAGAATTTCAATTATCTTGAAAACTAATCAATATTACTTTCATTTTCTATCATTCTTCATCATCAATATCAAATAAATTCAATATTTTAAATTATTCTCTTCTTCGTTGTTAGATAAATTAATTTGATTAAAAAATCGAACAAAAAAAAAATTTTTTTTTGTCATGGAACAGCAGAAAAGAAAGTAATTAACAATCTTCACTAGAAAGTCAATCAACATTAAAAAATAAAAATAAATGACAACAGAAACTATACACAAAAAAAGAAAGAAGAAGAAGAAGAAGAAAGCATTAATATGGAAAGAACAAAAAAGAAGAAAGTTACAAATTAATAACGAAATACTCATGATCATCCATTGGTTTGACTTGAATATTTATACTAAAAAACAAAAAATAAAAGAAATAAATTTAATAAATATTTAAAAGAAAAAAGAAGAAACAAACCATCTGTTCTTGCAATAATTTGATTGTTTGTTTATCTTGTTCTTTTTCTTTACGTAATGTTGTTATTTCCTTAAATAGAATTTTTTTTTTAATTAAAAGAAAACAAAAAAACAATGAATAATCTTTTATTTTTCATACTTTAAGTAAATCATCATAAGATGAATTTTCATCGATTAAATTACGAACATTTCCATCGGCAAGACTTGTTGAATAACGTCTTGAACTAAACATAGGATCATGATATTCATGAAATGAACCAACCATTGAATCCTAAAAAAAGTTCTTTAGTTTAGTTTTTTTTTAAACTTTCTTTAAATAAAAACTAACCGTCATATTAGCACCATCAGAATGTTTAAGTAATCGATCAAGTTGATGAAGAATTGTTTTAACAACCATAACATCTTTCATAACTTGTCGATAAGATTCAATATCCATTGTTATTTGTTCAGCATCTTCAAGGCGTGGTAAATAACTTGATGGTGGTTTTAATGAAACTGAACGTGTCATTAATCTTCTACAAATATAAATGTTGTTGTTGTTTTTTTTCTCTACATATATCAATAAAGATGAATATTTATTTTTCTTACCGATTTTGTTCATTATCAATATTATGATCCATTTGATTACTTAATCGATTTAATTCATCAAGTGATTCACGTAAACTAGCATTTATTGTATCACTTAGAGTTGTTGAATATTTAGTTGTAGTAGTTGAACGATGTTCTTTCGATGTTGGTTGATAATGAGGAATATTTGGTTTCGTTGGTGTAACAGACATTATTTTAGTATGTTGTTTATTTGGTTCAATTGAAGATGAAGGTAATGAATCTATTCGATCACTTAAATAAAGAAAAAAAAATTATTCAGACACTTAAATATTTTTTTTCATAGAACTAAATCAACCATCGATCTCAGTAAATAATACTAGCATATGACAAAAAAAAAAATAACATAAAGGAATTAAATACTCATGTAAAAGATAAACAGAAAGAAAAAAAGAAAACGTTCTTAGCACATTCTGTTGTTTTTAAATAGATTCAACTGTATACAAAAGTAAAAATCAATAATATCTTACTTTTTACAAGTAGATTTGATGGTAACTGTATCATCATAATCACATATTAAATCATCTGATTTCAGACTACAATTATCATCTTCAAGTAATGTATCTTGATTCAGTACATCTGAAATAGCTGATGATCCAGACAACATACTAATAGCCCGTTGTCGATGTTTATTCCCCTGAGAAAGATGTGCAGATGGAGGTTGATTGGAAGTAGACTTTACATTTCCATAGGTTGAATCATTTTGATGAGATAAAGGTATTTCTGGAGGTATTATTGCTTTTGAATCATTTTTCTATTTTAAAAAAAATGATGTTCTTTTATATGATCAAAGTTATCTTATTATTTTTTACTCGATTATTCGTTGTTTTAGATATTGATGATGATTGTTTATTTTCTTGATTAATAACTAATGTTTCAGGTGATGAAATTGAACTAGCTACGGGTGAACCATTAGCTGTTGATAATGGCGTACGACGTGTAAAGAAATTCATACGTTTTTGTGTTTTATAACGATCACGTATAGTATTGACATCAGTTTTTATAATTGTCGTTGTTGTTGTTGTCGTCGCAGACTGTGATGATGATGGAGCAGAAGAAGGAGGGGGTGGAGGAGAAGCAATAGATGATGATGAAGATGTCGCAGAAGTTCGTGATGGTGTTCTTGAACGCATACGACTAGCTGCTGTTGGTGCTTGAATATTTGATTTAACATTTGGTTTTGTTATTGATGAATCTCCATGACGAGGAGACGTCAATATTTTAGCTTTAGAAGTGTTATTATTTGTTGTTGTTGTTGTTGTTGTTGAAGATGGAATAGATCGATTTGGTGTCGGTTTTGATATTGTTGGAGCTTTTGCTAAACGTTGAGAAGAAATTGATGATGATGATGATGAATTAGCGCTGACATTCGATGTTGGACTAATCGAACGACTACGTGATGCATATGTTGATGCTCGTGATTGAGGTAATCCGGGTGCAGTTGGTCGTGGTATAAAACCAAACCGTGTTTGCATTGTTGTTGGTGGTGGTGGACGATTTGTTATTGACATTGGTGTTATAGAACCTAAAAAAACAAAAATTTCAAAATATTATGTATAATTAACTGTCGACTGAAAAAAAAGGTTATTATAATAAAATAAAGAAAGAAAAAAGTGTGGATCGATAGATGTTAACATTTTTGTTCGTTCGCTATTGATCTCATGTTTTTTTTTGTGTCTATACATTTTTTGTCACCGTTATTCGATGAGGAAGCATAGCATTAAAAGAAAGAGAATCAGCGAACAACACTGCGAAAAAAAACAGCATAGGAAAAAAATGCTCGTTGTTGTTCGCTGGAAAGGAGCAGAACTATTTTTTTTTTCTTTTCTATGACTCATACATAAGCACCCATAGGGCCGCTCAGCTTAGTATATACATAAGCAGTGACTTTTTTCTTTCTTTCTGTAAATAGACACAAAGAAAAGAATGACCCGTATCTCGGGTATAAATGGAATAGGTGTACAACTGTTCTATTCACAGAACTATACATATATATATATATAAAGATTGATACGACAAAAAACAATCACACTATCGTTGATACTCGCGTGTCCAACTGCCACACAATTGCTATTGAAGAATATGAATAGATCAACACTTCAAGAGAATAAGAGAAAATAACGAAGAAAGAGAAAGAAAAAAAAAAGAAGTATATGGAAATATGAGACACTAAACAGATTCGTCTCCGTAATCTTCACAAGATGCCTGTAGTATTGATAACATTTGCGTATGTGTGTGTAAGAGAAAGATATGACGGCCCAATGAAAATATGCAACAAAATTTTTTTTCTTTTAATCATACCTGTTTGATTAGTTGAAATAGCAGTTGATGTTACATTTTTAGGTCTTATAGTTATAGTTGTTTGCTGTGATTGTGGTGGATGATAGGCAGGTAATCGAGTTTTTGGCACCGGGATTCGAGGTGGAACCTGTGGTACAGATGATGCTGACGACATCCGACTGATAATATTCGAATTATTGTTATTATTATTATTATTATTATTACTATTTGTATTAGAAGAATATAATTGTATTAAACTATTTGTATCTGTTTGATGAAAGAAAGGTTTTGTTGATGACAATAGGTCAAAATCTGTAGACAAACAATAAGAATGTTGATATTGATGATTTGGAACTATATTTAATGGTAATGATGACAAAGGTGGAGGTGATTTAAGATCAAGGACGATTGAGTTCTTTGATGCTGCTCGATTATATTCTTGCGGTCGTTGCTTCTGTCGATGTCTTGCTGTTGATGTGCAAGTTCCCATCGTCAAGCTATAAAAACATAACAAGGAGAGAGAAAAAAAACGAGAAAAAAAACGAAGAAAGAATAACAGCAACAGCCGTTATACTAATTTACAATGAAATATAATGGTTCTTGAGAGTATATAATAGCAGTTATCGATGAAACTTATGTTTTGTTTCTAATGGGAACTTTTGGCTTCACTTTAGTATGTTTATTAAAGACACACATAGAAACATGTTTGTCACCACGATAGGTAATAACGATGAAGAATTATCGATAATCTTCATATCTCGATCAATTTCATATCATTTTCTCGTATCTACATATAACAAAGCAGGAGAAAAAAAACATGTATGTATATCATTTTTCATTCAATACCTGCGATCAAGAGTATATGTTATTCAAACTGTTTAAATTCAAATTTTAATTCATTAACAATCCAATTATGATATACTATTCATACATACTTAAATCTTTTCATTATAAAAAAAAAAGAGAAAATGCTCAATGTATTTACACATAAAGAAAGAAAGCTGCAAAGAAAATGAAGAACAGTCACTTCTTTTTTTTTTCATGATTGAATCTCTTGTAATTGAAAATCTTCTGTGTCAATAACAAAAAAGAATTGTTCATATAATGCATACTATATAATGCAACATACAATTTTTTTCTTTACATTTACACATCAAGTCATCTAACGTACAACTTTCATTCTCTGCATTTTTCTTTTTTTTTTTTAACGAAACAACTACTTGAAAATTTGAAGTAACAGAAAAAATCGGCATAATAACCATGAGAAACAACCAAAGACTATCCAATACCTTGTTTTCTGTAGTATCGAACATATTTGTGTTGTTGTTTATTGTTATTGTTTTGACTTATAGTAAAGAAAGTATATATGAGAGACAAACGTAATGTACAACTATATATAAACGAACTAGACACGTGTTACACATACGTCACAAACAAATACATCATATTGATACTACTAAATGGAGACAGAAAAATCAAAATATATCGATTTTGTCAGGCAAGTAAAACAAACAAAATCATGGCATGCTATAAATATTTTCTTTTCTTTACTACCTAATATAAATTAAAAACGAAAAAAAGAAAAGAGAAAAAAAAATGATCAAATGAAAAGAACATGAAATAAAAACATTATTAACATCGTCATTATCATCATGTCATGCGACAACGAAGTTAGAAAGCAGAGAAAAAAGTGTTCTTGCATAATCAAAGTCAAAGGTTACTACCTCTTCATATAGATATATTAATCATCCTTGAGTTGTGGCTAATGATTGAATAGCTATTATTAACACAAAGAAAAAGACATATAACCTTGCTTACAAGGAATAGCTTGATCGTTACAATCATATTAATGTTATACAGATTGTCAGACGTATCATAATATAGCTGTAAGAATACTTCGATTTTATCTGCTATATTTGTATGTATCATTTTATTTAAGTGTTAGAATATTAAGATAAAAGACAATATTTTTATCTAAATATAACATCTCTTTTGATACTTTTTTGTGCGAAAGAAAAGTCCTTGTGTTTATATTCAAAAAGACCATAAAATAAGCTTTGAATGAATGAAAGAAAATCAGATAGAACCTGATCAAATCATGAGTACAATAATGTAGACTTACCTTTGTAAGGTCTTTCGAATAGAATAATGTTTAACTAAGAGTTGAGCGGATTATTTATGATGTGTCGACTTCGTTCAAAAAGAAAAACAAGAGAAAAAAAAAGAATGATCGTTGTCAGTGATGAATAAAATGATACCAGGATCAATGTTTGGCTCGTGTTCAGTGATAAGAATGTGTTGAGATGTCTGGCTGTTTGCATAGTACTCATATATAGACATACGAATGAGTAAGTTTTAACCCCGCAAGGTGGTATTCAATTTCATTTCTGTATAGATACAGGGCGGTACCGATGAGAATACAGTGCAACATACGAAACAACAAGGAATATGACGAAATATTAATTGTAATAGTAATGTTGACTACTGAAGTGATGCGGACGAATCATGCATAAACGAAATAAATCAGTATAGAGATAAGTATATTCATGTGTATAAAGAAATCGAACCAGCGCTATACAAGATATGATGAATACAAAAAGAAAAAGAGAAAGAAATCGACCGATTATTGTGATGTTTGTCTGCGTTGAAGGTAATTGAAGATGAAAGTGAATACAACATGATAGACAATCGTCATGTATTGTGTTTGAAAAGAACGACATACATCAAACTACATCATTCATATACACCATTGAAACTCAAAAAAGTTTTTATTAATCAATAATAATAAAAATGCTTCTCTATCACATGATTAAAAGTAAAAAAGAAAATAAATTTAAATAGATTCAAAGAAAAAAAAAAGTGTTATCTTAAAGTTCTGAATTTAATTTTGTTTCAGATATATTCACAAGTTGATTATTAAGAATAAGATGAAAATAAAAATTTAATCCTCGCTGCATATCACTATGTCTTATACGTTCATTATCACCATGAAGACGATTTAAATCATTATGATGATAAACAAATGGAGAAAACCGATATAAATTTTTTGATAGATTCGTATATGATCTACTATCTGTTCCACCTACCATTAAACCAGGTACAACAATAATTGGGTGATGATGATCATTTTCAAATGTTTGACGTATTGTTTGTTCAAGAATACGATATGGATAAATATGTTTACCATATGGTGATATAGGTGATGGTTCTGAACATGACTTTATATGAGAAACAAGACGATCATCATTTATTATACGACGATTATTTTCAAGAATTTTTCGACATGAATCAGCTGTATGAATACGATCTAAATAAAATAAAAATAAGAATTTATTTTCAAACGAATAAAAAACAAGTACTGAGTAATCGGAAAATTTTTAGACAAGATATTTGTTCACTTTCGACTCACTAGGAAGTATTTTCAACGAATCAAAAGTTAAGATTTTGTGTTCAATGAAGTATAGATAATCGACCATACTAATTCAGAATATAATACGAGATTGGTAACTAGAACTGTAAAGGCTCATTTCTGGAAAATTAGTATTCATCAACGAGAAAATTATTTCGTCAAAAATTTGTTTGATCCGTTTTGGTTGTAGAGCACGTCGAGTTAACTACGAAACACTGTTTTTCTCCATGTGGAAACGATTATTGAGGGGGGAAGAAGCATACTTTTTTCTTGTCTCTTCAGATTTTCACAGCAAAATAGATGAACATTTTATTCTATAAAACAGTAGGCAAAAGAAAGACTTATGTTTCTGGTTGGCTCGGTCATGATTCCCGGATAGAGAAAAAGAGTGTTTTATGATCAGCTCGACGTGCGCTATAATCTGGATGAATCAAAGAAGTTTTTGACGGAAACATGTTTTCGCTAGGGAAACTGTTTCTTGCAGAGATGGGTCTCTGAAGTCGTAGCAGATAGTCCTGTATTGATATTCGTAATCAGCATGGTCGATTTCCTGCAACTTACTAGATTCAGTGATGAAAGTAAATAGATAGTTAGAGACTGCCTCTCGTCAGCTTCTGCTCAACAGCAGTGAAATAACCTTTGAAAAGCCTTTAAAAAATTGTCTGAACGTAAAACTTTTGTATTTTCACTATTACGATTTGAAACTAAAAGTTAAGGTCTTTATTTATATATCAGCTTGTAGATCGGAAGCTACTTTACAAAATGCACCGTTTGAAGTTTTTTTTTCTGTCTTTCGACAACCATTTTCCGATTGAACAAATGCTTGTCGTATCACACTTGGGTAAAAGCTACAGTTAGTCCAATAGTACATTTTGTAGAAAAGTGTCCACTCTCTCTGACAATTTTTAGCATGTTCGAAAAAGGCTTTATAGGGTAAAAAAAGCGTGTCGGCTCACTGTTAAAAATAATTTTTCAAGCTTTTCTCGAGAGTCTCTCAGTATTCTTGAATAAAAATAGACACAACATTTCTAAGTTCACATTCAAACCTTGGTTGCGATCTATAGCTTTTAACTCGTCGGAAATACGTTCTTGCGTGTTCGAAGCAAACAAATATCTTGCCTAAAAGCTTTCTCATCACTTGTTATTTTTCTGCTTTTAGTTGCCTTCTTACGATTAACAGTAGCTGAAGCTGATGTTGGTAAAATATTTTCTTTTTCTCCGCCAGAAATAGACGTTACTGCTGTTGATGTACGTTGCATAGCATCTGTTCCTGGTTTTCGACTTAAAACCAATTGAATAACAGGTCCAAATAACCAAATATTACTCATTACTAATCGTAATGGAAATTTTAAATAAGGTGTCACACCATGGAAAAGACTTAGCTCAGGTCCACGACCAAATTGTGATGGTTGTAATGTACTTTCAAGTTTATCAACAGCTCGAGCTAATATACCAATAGCTGTTGATGCTGATGGCATACTTGAATGACCTGGTGCAACATCAATACGATATTCAATATTTATAGAACCTTTTTCAGCAACACCAATTATAGCAATAGGATTTTTAAGAGTTGGAAATGCTTCTTCGAGAATAATTGTTCCTTCATCAAGTATAAATTCAAATTGACCATTATGACCAAAAGGTTGTTGTGAAAGATAATGAGCAATACCCATAGCTCCTGATTTACCTACTTCTTCATCATGTGTTAATGCTATATAAAATGTTCGTAATGGTTGACCATATACATTCAAATATTCCTATTCACAAAACCAAAATCAAATTTAATATTACAAATAAAAACAAAATTAAAATTAGATATTTGAGCAGTGCATTTATTTTATCGAGTAGAATATGCATACAAATCAATTGATTATTAACATTTTTTGAGAAACTACACATTTATCATACCTTAAGAGCTTCCATCATAGTAAATAGATTTCCTCTAAAATTTATTTACAATAAGGAAAAGTTGAAATAGTTATTCACCTTGATATTACTTGTCATCAAGTGTACCACGTGCATAAATAAATTCTTCATCTGAATGAGCATCAAATGGTGGATATTTCCAACGATTTATATTTCCAGCAGGTACAACATCCATATGAGCAGAAAAAAGAAATGGTTTTAAATTTGAATTTTTTCCTTGAATAGAATATAATAATGAGTATTCTGCAATATCATGTAATTCAACAAATTTTGAATATTTTTTTATTAAATCATCATAATGTGCTTTTATGAAATCTCGACATTTTTTAATTTCAATTAAGTTTTGTTTATTGCGTCCATAGGATATTGTTTGAAATTGAAGTAATTTTTGAAATGTTTGAAGACGATGTTGATCAAATTGCAAAGAATGATTATCAATTGATGATGAACATGGTTGAAATATAGCTTTATCTGGTGTAAATACTACATATGTACGATAAAGAAGAATAGATAAAAATCCTGAAAATATAATTACAATTATTGTCCAAAACATATCTGGAATTAAAAAAAAATTATATATTAAGTTTTTGTTGTTTTTTTACACGATGAAGTTTTTGTGTTATAATTAGTTTCATAGAAAAATTATATACGAGTTTAATTTCTAAGAAAAAATAATATCGTAAATTTTTTAGAAGAAAATGTAAAATGAATATTATTTAATATCTTATATTATGTTCTATTATTATCTGAATATGAGTTAGGATCATATAGATTAATCAAAATATAGCATCTTCAGCTTTAGTGGCCATCCGTAGAGGACATTCTGGTAAAAATAGTATTTTTATAGCTTTTCCCACTGTCCAGATTCATTGACTCCCTCCAGGATTCTCAATATTAAAAGAAACCAGCTTTCTAGAAAGAGCCTGTTCGTTCATTTATACTGCATCATTAAATAAATGTATCAGACATTTAGATGAATCAACACACATTTCATAAACAACAAACAAAAGTCTAATCTTTTCGGAAAGTTTTTATTTTTTAAATACATTTTGATGAGCAGAAAATAGTAACAAGACGAAATAAAATTCAATACCGGTGATACTTGAAAATTTAACAACGTTCATATTCCTGCTCGAGAAAAGAATAATCTACTAATGTTGCATAATCTTCAATTATTTCAAGAGCATATAAACTGAATCAACTATAGAATGGGTTGTTCACCTTATGAAAAATCTTATGCTTGTTTATATTCTGTGCTCGTACTTTCTTTTTTATAAAATTTCAAAAGAATATTATTCACAGATAAAAACAATCATTGATCCCGTTAAAAATCGACTGAGATTTTGCAATTTTTAGTCGATTATAATCTGGTTTTAAACTTCTATTTTGTCTTTTTTTCCGATTTCTAAGATCTTTTCAACTTTTTTTCGAATGAAATTCATTAATAAATTTCAATTAATAAAAATTGATAAGCCTTTTTTAATCAATTAGGAAGAATTCAAAAGAAAACGCTTAATAATAAAGACGATCAACGTAACAACTAAAATTCAGGTTATAATCGAATGAAAATGGTGTCATTACGATTTGTTCTTAATGAAGAAATAATACTTGTTGAACCAATATCTTCCATTTTTTTTAGCATGGGTACACGACACTAATAGCATATTCATACAAAAACAAGATATACGTCAATGAAAACAACGATTCTTTGTGATTGAGTACTATCACTTAATTGGTTCGAAGTCTTTCATCACTATTTAGCAGCAGATCGAGATTCATTTTTTATTATGTACCCGACTTCCTTATGATTTGATAAGAGATGTTCAGTCTCATCGAAATCGAAAGAGATCGTACTCAGCGATGATGAATTAGAGTGAGTATCATCTACATATCTGTAGTGAAATTCATGCAAATATAAAATCATCACTAACTAGTAGAATTACATAGATGACAAATGTTCTGAAAGATTCATGTTTGGATTTAGTAAACGATTTAAAATGGTATTATATTAAAAAAATGTTACTACGGCAAACTATTCCATCCTATCCTTAGCGCAGAACGCCAAGACATCAGGTCATCTTGTATTGATGACAGTCTCTGGTCTTTATTCTATTCACAGGAAACAAGTGATAATGAATAGCAAAACAAAAGCCCTGCCGCTAAGAGATATAGTGAATGAAATGTAAACGTGGACACTCTCTAGAAAAAAGGTGTCATAAAATGGCATTCATTGAGAGAATTCTGTATGACACCTTTTTTAGAGAGTAACTTACAGCGACGTCTCATGTAACTACAAAAAATTAAAAATTTTGACTAAGAAAATGTATGTAGACTGAGGATTAGTACATAATTTACCAAAGCAAAATAATTTGCCTTTCCCTGCCCTGTTCTGGCCGCCCTGCAGAGCGTGGAGGGCAGGACAAAAAAAACCTTCGCCCCATAGAACAGTGCAGAACAGGAGAGGACATCAGGACATCAGGGTAGCCCTATCTTAATGATGATCTTTGATTTATAGTCCACTAATTCATATTCAGTTCGTTTCCTATTTAAAAATGGTCTTCAAAATAAACTAACGAAAAAATCTCACTAGATGTCAGATCGTTTTTCGACCAAGATGATGTTTATTTGATGAGTTAGCATGCAACAGAAGTTTCGTCCCTACGGAAATGAATATTGTAACCTTGTTTTTAATATATAAAGTTCAATTGCAGTATATTCATATACTGCAGACATTAGACATATTTACTGTGCACATAGCGTTTATTTAGTTGTTTGTTTCCTCTTTGAGAAAAGTGAAAATATGTATGTACCATACACTAGGGAAAACAGCAAGACTTTCATTTCGATCCGCAATATTTTTGAGACTCCAATGATAGAAAATTTTGAAGACGCTATAGAATTGGCAGAATTCCAAATGTACAAAACAAATTAGGTAAGACTACAAAAATCAATGAAATCTGACAAAAACGTGTAAAAGCCCTCGGATTCTCCACCAGTTGAGAAAGAGTCTCGAAAATTCAGAAATAGTCTAGAAAATTTTGAGAATTACGTAAAGTCAGGTTGGACATCATCAAGACTTTGGAAATACAATAAAATTATCCAATATCTATGAATACCTTGCAATAGATTTCAGATTAAAAAAACTTCGAAATCCACCGTTTCTCCCTCATCCAAGAATATAGTCCATATATCACCACTTTACTCAAAAGAGAAACAGACAACTAACTAAGCGTTGTGTGCATAGTAAATGTTTCTAAAGCCTTTGTATATAGATATGCTGCATCTGAAGTCTATATGCCAAAATAAAACAAAATATTCATTTCAATAGGTGCGAAACTTTGATCGGGCACTAAGTATTCGTGAGTAATAGAAAATTCTATAATGGTTTGGTTTTCACGACCTTCGTTCTTGAGATATAGAAATTTTATTGGATTTTTCAACACAAAGTTGTGACTCCTCTCAAGTCTCGTGGAGAAACGACTTTCGAATTTTGCTTTCAAACTTTGCATGAACAAAGTTCTCAATGAAATTAGTTGACAGCTCGAAGTCAACGAAGGTTTTGCCAAAAATTCACTTTTAACATATGAATGTTTTTGAATAGTAGGTTTTGTTCTCTGGTATTTGCTCTATAGACTAATGCGTTTTGAGAATTCCAATAATATCTTATAGATGTATGGTGCACGAAACAAAGTTGGAGTCAAGTTCAACTTCGATTTTTTTTGACTTCGACTTTCTTTCATGCTTATGAAACTTGATAAGACATCATTGGGTCTACCAGAATGCGTCAGTTAGTACTGTAAATATTAGAGAATATAACCTACTATTCAAAAAAGTTCGTATATCAAAACTGCATTTTTGGCAAAATATTTACTTGACTATGGAATTGATACCACATAGAGGTCTGAGATGTAAATATATGAACAAAATTTGCTTTTACATATGAGAGAGTTTCTAATGTTCAATGTCACAGAACGCGACATTCTAGAAAAGTTACAACTTGACCAATGAACTAAGCTTATTGAGAACTTTGTTCATGCAAAGTTTGAAGTCGAAAGTCGATTTTCCATGTGACATGCCGAGGACTACAGTTTTTTGCTGAAAAATCTACATGGTAAAATTTCGATACCTTGAGAATGAAGGTCATGAAAATCAAACTCTGCTAGAGTTTTCTATTACTCTCAAGTACTTATCAAATGAACACAGTCTTGGTCGAAAAGCGGTTTAACACCTGACGAGATTCTCTCGTAAGTTTAAGAATGTCGTCAAAAGTTGTGTGAAACAAAATAGAACCTTATGAAAAAGAAAACTCTTTTATCTAGATATAACACGATTGCTGATATTCATTCGTGTGAATGAAGTAGTCCTTGTATTTATATTCAAAAAGGACTATAAAGTGAGCTTTAAATGAATGAAGGAAAGTCATGCACGACATGATCAAATCATGACTATAATAATGTAGACTTAACTTTGTAAAGTCTTTTCGATATAACAAACTTTAACTCAGAGTTGAGCAGATTATTTATAATGTGCCAACTTCATGGCATTCGAGTGAAACTCGAATACGACATGCAATGCGAAGCACGAATCTCAATATTCAAAAAAAAAGAATGTCTCGTAAAATGCGAAAAACCGTTTCTGCAATTTATTGTGAATCGTGTCTTTTTCCGAAAAACGTTTATGCTATGCCGAAATCAGGCTTTTTTTTTGTTGTCGTTGTAAATCGAAAAAGTAATGTGTCTATCAATCAGCTGATCAAAGACAGCATGAAAGTGAAAAGCAACCATAATACAATGGGTCACTACCAGAACTCTACTGACGAGTATCAACATGTTTCTAAACAATGCTAGCGATTGATCGTTTCATTAGCTATATGATTTTTTTTTTTTTAATCATCAGCTGTGAAAACAGCTGTATTAAATATAAGCAAGAAGACTAGTAACTAATTTTTCTTGCAACCTTGTTAGCTCTCATATGTATAGAACGAAAGAGACAAGCAGTGTCACTGATGTTATGTGACAGAACGATGAAAAAGATGACCTTCATGGGAATCGAACCCATACCTTCTGCTATCCGGGCAGATGTCCTAAGCCAATTAGACTAGAAGGCGCATCTTAATCATCGTTTAGCGTCCAAGTGATTCATCATGGACGCTAACAAACCTCCGTTTTAATTGTCTTGAAACTTCAAAAATACTAAGTCTACAAAAATTTGTGTTTTTGGCGCTCTGTTTACAATGAAACGGAGCGTACTACGGTATTTTGGAATAAAAATTGTACCGGCTCGATCTCGATGCTTTCGCTTCGCGTTTCAACAACTATTCTGTGAGTTTTCGTCCTCAAGATCACTGCGACACAAAATTTTCTCCTGTATAATCAGAATAAATTGTGTTACTATATACCAGCTCCCTATAGAGTTTTGATAATTAGCCAAAAGATGTCGGTAACTGCCCATCGATGGTTTATCATTAGTGATAGTGATAATTAACCATTACCAAGATGATCACAGGTGTCGTTTCATTCTATCGATATAATGAAAATAAAATCCATAGATTAT